GTAATCTTAATTGAGGAGTTTCGACTCCCCTGTTTTTAGTTTCATTTGTGCATTGGCTAAAAAACAGCCTGGTGAATGTGCTGCTGATGACTTGCCTTCCTTTTGAAATTATGTAGCTTCTCACTGCCTGCAGAAAACTTCCAGGCAGCTGTGAGTTGGGTTCAGAAAATTAGGGAGAATTCCAAGGAGAAACATGCCTCCAGTGTTGGCCTTGCACCCAATCGGGCTCTGACATCCATGGTAAATTAAGGCCTTACCACTATTCTCATTGCACTTTTGGCTTGCAAGTGGCAATGAAGTCTGGAATCTCACAGGTGGATAAAGAGGTGCAGCTATCAAAAGAACATCAACAACCAAAGCCTGTTGTCCATCAGCACCAGTCAGGATCTCATCACTCCCCCATGGTGCTTCAACAGGCTACACCTGTCCATGAGCACAGGCAGGGATCTCATTGTCCTCCACCTAGGACCGTGCAGCATCCATCGGAGCTCCAACAATCAACATGTGTTCATCAGCACGAGCCAAGATCTCGACGACCTTCATCGAGTGCAGTGCAGATTCCATTAGAGCCTCAGCATGTAATGGCTGTTCATGAGAGAAGATCTCAACATCCTCCATCTGGAACTGCACTGGCATCACAAAACGTGCAGCATCCGTCGGAACTTCAACAGGTACTTCGCGTCGCTCGTTCTCGGCTCCAACCGGGATCCGACGAGTCTCCCTCTGGAAGCAACACGGTGGCACTAAGGCAGAGCCCAGTGTCTGCACCGAGTCTAAATGATGGCAAGTGCAAGATGCCAATGCAGGGGACTTACAGCCTCATGAGCAAGTTCCTCCGGGACCATGTCGGATGTGGGCACGTTTTGGACTTCGGTCAGGTGTTCTTCCGGGACCGCATCGGCCAGAGTTTGAAGGGGTTCCTGCTGGAGACGTCGGCCGAGGATTTTCCGAACGTTCGGGAAGCCACGAGGAAGTTGGAAAGGTTGCAGTTGCCCAGTGATCCAAGATCTCAGTTGCCCAGGATTCCTCTCCTCTATCCACAAGATGTGGCCCTGTTGCTTTTGCTGCACAAGACATTGAAGCCTTCAGAGCAGGAGTGTCTCAGTGATTACTTACAATTCCTGAAGGAAAAGAACACTCGTGAACTGAGACGCATCTTCCACGCGCTGAAGATGTTGAAAGAGAGCGGACATCTCCCCTCGCACGATGACCCGAAAGTTGACGAGGCTCGAGCAGCCCTTGGGATCCGGTGAGATGCGTCCGTGACGGTCCAGTGGGTCTCCTTGCACCAAAATCCTGGATGAAATTCTTTTGTACTTCGCTTGACTTTCTTGCTTCTATGATTCTTAGAGATTTGCAATCTCTCCCACGCCCAACAAATGCCTTGCCTGATGAGCAACATGGTATCCTTGCACGTTTGCCTGGCTTTTTCCCATGTGAAGAGATGGGAATCCCCTTAATATAGGATTGAATTAAAATGCTATGTCTCAAAGTTGCTTTTTCCTTCATGTGCAGTGTCTTTGCTGTCTGTGGGCGAGATTTCAAACCTCTGCCTGTCATTGCAGTCGAGATGATTCGAAAGATTTTTGTGAAAAACTCGAGTTTATGTTCTGTGTATGATGCTCAGAAAATCAAGTTTTTCTTTCAGGACTACCTCATGTGATCAATAGAACGAAATGCCATGTAGCCGCACGACCAGAAAATGTTGTCGAGTGCCTTTCTCAATTTGTTCCTGAATGAAATGAATATTTTCAACGCGTTTCTGAGTTGTTATCGTATGCGACAAAGTGGTTGCTTCACATACCACACGTCCCCATTGTGACGCCCTAGAGAACTGCATACTCTCACTCCATTGGAGACGGAAAGGAGTTTTAAATTTGTATCAGACCGTGGAATGAGGAAATGGGCAGCTCCCTTCCTTCCCCCCACTCCCAAAAAAATTGGACAAAATAGCAAGAACATTGCTCGCTCAACGGCCTCACTCTCCCCGCACTTCAACCGGACCAGACTGAAGAGGGGGCTGATGAGTAATTTTAGGGAGAGCCGAAAAAAATACCTTGTCGTTTCCCCTCCAATCCCAATGGGTCGAGTGAGACCGCTTCACCGTGCATACCGAGCATTTGGAATTCGTGCGATCTCATCTTTTATTCGAGAGACTCCAGAGTAGAGGCGCTCCTTGTTTCTGAGAGTGTAGAGGCAAAAAACGGAATGTCCTAACTCCTTTCAGTTTCATGCGAGCAAAAACTTCTTTTTTTTTCCATGATGAACGAGATCGCATCTCGATGCGTGCGATCGGCCACCGTTTCGCCGAGCCCTCATTCAAAAATCCTGCTTTCACAATTTCGAAACATCGAAACGTGCTCCCATTAATTTTCTGGATTCACCTCCGGTTCGGTGAATTCGCTCTCTCGCTTGTTCACGGTTTCTGGGCCTTCGTGCCGAATTTCAGCTCTCCAGTCCAAACTAAAAAAAAAAATACATTTCTGCACTGCCCATCTCGACGCGAAGTCCACGGCAACGGTCGCAAAGAATCGATCGGTTGCCAAGAGAATCTGTCGAGGAGGACGAAATATGCAAAGGAGCCGAGCCAGCAGGTTCAAATCGTGGTTGGCTGCGAAGACAAGAGCCCTCTTTTGCTCCTGCTGTTCCCGACAAGAGAACGATGGAGAAGAGGTGGAGCAGGAGGAAATTCCCCAAGTGCCCGGTGAATGATAGCGATCCATTTTTTTTTTCAATCTTTCCTTCCGATATCCCGTTTGATATCCGCATTTTTTTCCCCAGGGGGATCCGTGATTCCCTCGACGTTGCCCTCTGCGCGTCCCAAGGGGAAGAGGAAACGGTCACGCCTACAAGAAGAATGGGAGCGAGTGCGGACGGGAAAGGACCCAGAAGTGAACATCGAGGAGACGTGGGATATCGAGAACCCGATCGTGTTCCCTGCCACCCCAGGACCCTCCACCTCCCCCTCTCCGGACGAAAGTAAATTCTCTCTCTCTCTCTTCGACTCGTGTTACATTAACATTTAAAAGACAATCTTCGCCCCTCGGCGACCCATGGAACGACTCGTTCGCCGTTTCCTCGCGAACGAAGCAAGGGACGAAGAGAAGAATCGAAGTACTTTTCCGATGCGGTTCGACCGATGTTCCCATCGCTACGGACGGCCTATGACTTGACTTTCGCGTCCCTCGGGAGGGAAGGATGCGAAAATCAAGGGTAAAGGTTAACGCCGTGAGGCTAACGGAGCCGGGGAGAAACATTCCTCTGTCGAGAAGAGATTCTTCGGTCGTACTCTTCCCGGTACGACCCGAACTCCGAGGAACGGCCGACTCGTTCTCTTCCGACAGGGACTTTCGTCGGGGATCTGCGGATGCAGTGGCGGTTCTTCCCGGACGGGCGAAAGCACGTATACTATTCCATCTACTTCCGGGAACTCCGAGCAAAACTAATATGTTTCATCATGCTAGAACAAATGAACGAAACAAGCGTCTACGCCGGGGCCCTATACGAATTGACATCGAGTGACGGGTCCTTCNCCATCTACTTCCGGGAACTCCGAGCAAAACTAATATGTTTCATCATGCTAGAACAAATGAACGAAACAAGCGTCTACGCCGGGGCCCTATACGAATTGACATCAAGTGACGGGTCCTTCCGGAAAAAGAGGCTCTCCCTTGACTACTTTATCCAACCCGCACGTCTAACACCCGACGAAGACCAAGACTCTCCCCATGGGGCTCCCAATCCCTCCTGGTTGCCCCTTCCCTCCTGGTGACCCCTTCCTGATGGTCCCCTCCTTCCTGTTGGCCCATACATCCCAGTGGCCCCATGCATATTTCTGGCGCCTTCCATCCTGGTGGACCCCCTCTTCCTGGTGGCCTATGCATCCCAGTGGCCCCATGCATCCTGGTGGCGCCTTCCCTCCTGGTGGCCTATGCATCCCAGTGGCCCCTTGCATCTCGGTGGCGCCTTCCCTCCTGGTGGCCTATGCATCCCAGTGGCCCCTTGCCTCCTCATGGTCCTCTCCTTCCTTATGGCCCATACATCCTGGGGGCGCCTTCCCTCATTGTGGTCTCCTTCCTGGTGGCCCATGCATCCCAGTGACCCAATGCATCATGGTTGCCCCATCCATCCTAGTGGCGCCCCCAAGGAGAAAATCCTATCTTGTAAATTTATGGGGCCTGAGATAAATATTGATGGTTGGCCGGCATGGTCTTTTTCAGCTCTAAATCGTCATGTGAATCGTGGATTTCCATCCGCGACAGTACCCCGTTCTCAAGATTGGGAGTAAGGTTGAGAAAGCAAATATGGATGTAAATATTCTGAATTTCAGGAACCTCAGTCAGCAATGAGCACAGAAGCTCATGAGGCACAGATGTAACGTTTTTGGACGCGAGGAGAGTTGGTCGGAGGTCATGAACCCGCCTGGTATTGAGTTGCCATTGATGGACATAAGGATGCAGGGTGAAAAGGGACAAGCTTGGCAGGTACCGAGGTGCCTTTAATGGATACAGGAGGGTGGGTCACATGACACAAGCTCGACAGGTACCGAGGTGCCTTTAATGGATACAGGAGGGTGGGTCATATGGCATAAGCTCGACAGGTACCGAGGTGCCTTTAATGGATACAGGAGGGTGGGTCACATGGCACAAGCTCGGCAGGTACCGAGGTGCCTTTTACGGACACAAGGAGGGTGGGTCATATGGCATAAGCCTAGTAGATACAGAGATTTCTAGTGGGGATGTGATGAAAATGTGTTATGAATTAAGCTTAGTTGATACTCAGGTGCGACGTGGATATGTATATGTGTATATATTTTGTCATGTGTGTAATATGCTTCTATTATCCGTTGCCCTTCTTCCACATTCCCCTTAGCCCAAAGCTGAGTTGAATATGTTCTCTGAAGAGAATGCTTCAGCCAAGCACGAAGGAGTTTTTTCCTGTCTAGACCGAATTGGTCTTGTTGACCTTGATTTCTATCCACTTTCAAGGTCGATTATTTTATTTTATGACCTCAAGTCAGTGAAATAAATCATGAGTATATTGAAAATTCTGTATAAAGTACTGTTTTCTGGAACCACCTGGAGTTTTTATTTTTATTTCAGGTGTTCAAGAATAAATTTTTTTTTCCCAGCATGTGCTTCCATTTTTCGCGAAACATCCCCCCGAGTTTGAAGTTTTACAACCTGCTGTCGAGAACTGCGATGTTCCCATTTGTAAATCGATTGGAATGCAACATGTTACCTTTCATATTACCTTTCTTCAAGCCACTCCCGTAGCAAAATACTGCCTCCTCTCTGAGAGCATCAACGGGAACAAAATTTGGCATGCTTCTTTCTCTCTCAACACAGAAAAGTTCCAGCAATTTGAGGCTCCATATCCCCGCGGTCGTGCATGGGGTTACCATGGGGTTACCATGGGGTTACCATCGACTAGCACCATAAACATTACATGTGTTGTCCATGGCTAAAAGGTCGAGGGCCTTCATGACCATTTTAACGTCTTCATGGATGAACAACCGAATGAAGATCTAGATGGAGATGCATACCAAGACCGTTTGGCACTGGCATGCACCCATCACTAAGTCCTCTTGATATTTCGCCAGCAAAACCATTTGCTCTTGTATGCTGATATTCTCTTTTCGTTTGAGAGCTGCCATGCTGACGCGGAAGAAACAGGGCCTGTTCCAAGATGTAATGCTTGCTCGGCGTCCCTTAGCAATCTGCTAGGTTAAGCAGTGTGATAAGACGGTTATCGAATGACCGAGTTGAGTACCCTGCTAACTTAAGCAGACACCTTAAGAGGGTTCCAGGTTTACTTCTAAGGAATGTATCGAATACGGCCCCAGGTCGCTTCCATCCTCTCCTCTGCAGCTGCGTCTCATCGCGATCGGTATCGAGGCGTGGTTTCGGAAAGGAAAGGAAAGCCCCGTGATTTCCACAAGAACGGGATTCGGGATTTTCGGGTGTGCAAGATTAGGGTACCGCTTGGGAAAAGGTTGCTTTTAATGTTTTTGAATCGCTTCGCGAATGAGAAACTTTCAGCATCCTGCCTGTAAAAGTTCCTCCAAAGACAGAGGCAGAGGCAAATAACGGCAGAGAAGCGCGAGATCGAGACAATGAAGCGAGGTACGCCGATGGTCTGATACTAATTCGGAAACTTATTCGTATGCAAGTCTCAGGACCTTCAAACTGATTTTCAAACTTCCTATAGACCTGTATATCTTCCTGCTACGTTTTCGCGATGAGGGGAAGATATATTAATCGCATTTACTAAAATATACTTTTGCACCACTGTTTGCAGCGAGAAGTCTCAAGGACAAAGGGGGGAAAAGGGAAGAGAAGAGAGAAAAACCGGGCATGAGGTTAGTCGAGTCTAGTTTTCCTTTCACAGTCCTTTAACACAGGCCTTTAACCCTTTCACGCATAGAGTCCACTGTAGTGGACGCGTCGTTAAAGAAGAATATGTGACGCGTTAGTCCCACCATGGAAGGAAACGACTGGCAGTTCGTAGAAAAAATTCAATAGTAATTGTTTGGATGATTTGAAGGTGGTAATGAATTATTTTTCAGTTAAGAAATGTTAAATGAAGCGATTTTTTCTATTAGTCGCATATTTCCAACACATTATTGCGAATGTAAAGGCGAATAATAAGGTTCTATGATATGCAATTTCCCAGCCCTGTCTATTCGTTACTTTGGAAAACAATTGAAGCTCTCGACGATTTTCCTCACGACTCCGAATGGGGAGAGAGTTGACGCCA